AAATGTTTTCTTGATCATTTGCACCCCCTTTTGAGTACTTGTTTGCTTGTCGTGATCGCCGATAGTTCACAGTGTGGGCTTGTGGCACAATCTCTTCGCGTCACCATGACGTTGATGGGGCTGCCTGTATGTCATTGGCGTCCTTCCTTCCTACGGGCCGCTTCGTTCTTCCCGCTCTTGGCTCGCTTTCTGACTGCGATAATTGCATGACGGTCATTTAAAAGCTCCCTTTGAAGCTAGCTTGCCAGCAAGGCCCTCTCGTGTGACGAATGCGTGTGCAAACCACATTTTTACACCCGGGGCTCACTCTTGCAATCAATTTACCGACAACTACCTTGTCGTTGGATCCCGCCAACTCTAAGATGCAATCATGCCATAGTAGCGAGCGAGCCAATAGGGCATCAGCCATGCTCCAGGATCGCCCTCGGTGCGCCCCGAGCCGCCGTCAAGATCGTGTGGGTCACCGTTCCACCGCAGCTGCGGGCGCTCGTACACGGGCAGGATCTTGCGCACGTCATCGTTCCCTTGGTGGTCGTTGCGCTCGGCCTCGGGGTTGATATAAATATCGCGACGAATCGTGTTGGTCACGGGAAAGTCGATGAGCTCCAGGGGCCAGGTTCGCAGGTTCCTGGTACAATGGGGTCGGTGCCAAGAGAGTTAGCGCAAAGAAGCCAAGGTATCAACACGGCGGGCAAGAGAAGAATATTGCTGAGCTGAGGGTAAACCTACCAGGCAATGTTATCGATATCAGCCTGCGTGGTTAATGACCCATTGATGGCCGTGTACATGACGTTCCAAGGAGCGCTGCGCTCGGCGCGAACCGCCAACCAGGTGCGCTCGACGCTCAAGCTGAGTGCACTGGCCATTTGCGGCAGCTTAGTGAGGTTCAGACCCAGAGCCATGGTGAAGTAAGGCAGGAAGGTGAGTTCGTCATCCGAGTAGTTGTCGTCGTCGGGTGACTTGATCTTCAGGTTGAGCATGTTTTCATCATACTATCATAGCATGAGCAAGCCAAGGCAAGGGGGACAGCCGAGGTGTCAACGGAATTGTGGACCAGAAGATGACTCGCAACGCAACCGAAAGAAACGTCTGATTCAAGCGCTGTGAACACACCTGGTTGTCCGCGGTCGTCAGATTGGCCAGCGCCGCCTCAAACTTGGCCTTTTCGGCAGGAGTCCTAGCGGTTTGGGCAGGCAACGATGAGTTGGCCCGAGCCACTCGCACGAGGAGCCATGGGAGCCACAAAAACACGCGTGCAAACCGCCGCCCGTCTTCCCACGACCCAAATACCATACGCCTAGGAGCCAAGGTTTCAATACCACAAAAACACACCGAGCCAAACCAATCCCAGCGACCAAGTAGGAAAGGATCTGTGCAGCATTGAGGCCACGAACATCACTCCAAGAGCGGTTGTGGTTGATGTACTGAGGATTCCAGATGCCCCATCGTGTGGGTAGGCCCGTAACATCGACGAGGAAAAAGTTGTTGTCGACAATGTGGTTGATAATGTCCAGGAGGTAGGTCTGAGAGCGATCGCGAGTGGCCTGGTCCGTGCCCATGGCATACACCATCATGTGTGCAAACATGTGGCCAACGACCTCATCGGAAGAGGCATCGCCTTTGAAATGCCACCCCGAGAGCCCAGGGGCTTTACTGGCGTACCAGTTGGGCTCGTCCGGGGCTGAGACATTGGGGGCCAGACAGGTGCGCGCCATCAAGCCCTGAACATTGGTGACGTTGACCAGAAGCTCCATGCCCGCCTGAAATTGCTCCAGCGCAGTCGCATGGGCCACGCTCGGCTCGAGGGCCTGGGCTTGAGCATAGGCAGATACGAGCAAGCTGGTCCAGAGCCCGCTATTGTCCTCGGGTCCACCTTGACAGGTGGAGAGTTGCCCGTACCCAGCCATATCACACTCGCCCACCAGGCCGTGACGGTTGTGGCGCGCTTGCAGAATGTTGAGAAAGTGTGTAGCTTTTTGCCGCAGCGTCCACTGCTCCCAAACAAGGAGACTGATTCCGCCAGTGGTGGCTACGAGTGTGTGGGTGCTGTTCAAGGAAACCAGGTGTGTAACGTTGGAGGTGTGAGGCAAGAAGCGGTCACCGTGAAAGTAGCGCCAGTCTGGGTCATCCTGACCGCGGCTGTAGCGCAGCAAGCCTTGAGGGGTACCAATCCAGACGGCACCCGTGCCGGGTTCAACGGTGGTGAGGGTGGCATTGTTCAGGGGCATGCCTTGTTGGAAGTCGTAGCGATTCACCATGCCGTTGAGGGCCCGCTCGTTCAGGCTGATTTCGTTGGCCACAAACAGAATGCCATCCTTATCACAGGACATGTCCCGGACGGGTCCGCCATACACGCCACCCTCCTCGAGCGTCAACTGCGTCACCCACTCCCAGCGACGGACTTTACCGGCACGATCCAGCTGCACAACTCGTTCGTCATTGCCATAGAAGAGCCACTCGCCACACTCGGCCACGGCATCGGCAGGGTCAACGCCGAGCTGAGAGAGGGATGAGGTTCCCGAGACATTTTTGAAGTACCACAGCCCCGTGCTCGAGGCCAAAAGCCAACCAGAGCCATCCTGCAGCTGCAGTGCCTTGTTCACGGTTCCGATGATCCCACTTTCAGCGTGAGCCTGAGCACAGCCCGTCAGACTGGCCTATCCCGGTGTCAGCCGGATGAAGCAGCACAAAGTGAGCCGTACGACAACGTTGGAACGGCAGCCTTTTTGAGGCAGAAAACAAGCATCGATAGAGAAGGAAAGAGGTGAAGGGCAGGGGGACAGAGAGACAGAGAGAGAGACAGAGATAGAGGGACAGCGCGCGCGAGAGCGAGAGAGAGAGAGAGAGAGCGAGAGAGCGAGAGAGATTTAACAACATTGGCACGTGCAGGAATTGGGACACTGACCGTGCAATGGTAGAGGAGCACGCCCTTGGCGGGGTCAACAATCAGGAGGTCACTCAAGCTGGAGCCTGGTAAAGCTTGGGCGCCCTCGGGCAGGTACAGGGGAACGGCAAAGTCACTCAGCCGGCCGTTGTTGACTTGGAGCAAGAAGGGCTGGAGTTTGGAGCTGGTGTTGGTATAGCCGGTAGCAAGGGCACGCTCGGCTCCCCAGGGCTGGAGGGCCGTCACCTCTGCAAAGCCAAGGGCACCCCACCCCTCGATGGCAGGCAGGCCTTGCAGCCCATGGCGATGGCTGATGAGTTCACGATAAGGTTCATCCTTGATGGCCTTCCAAGTGTCGGCGCTGGCTGAGGCAACCAGCGCCAGCGCGATGCACCACCACATCCAGCTTCGACACATCGTCGTCTACTCGAATAATTCAACAATCAATCAGCAAGTTGACAGGTGCCACGATAACATTCACCTCCCTGCACGTCCACGTCCACGTCTTGACCAGCCCACACCCCCACCCCTTGCCATCATCCCGCCCATGCCCCTGCCCCTGCCCCTGCCCTTCCTCCCCCTCCTCCTCCTCCAGGCTCCAGCCTCAAGCATCCACTGATACACACACACACCATCAAATAGAATAAAATTGGTCTCTCAAATCTCTCTCAAAATCTCTCGAATCTCTCAAATCTCTCTCAAAATTTCTCAATCTCTCAAATCTCTCTCTCTTTCTAAATCTCTCTCTCTCCTCTCTAAATTCTCTCAAATCTCTCTCTAACTATCTAATCTCTCTCTGAATCTCTCTCTGAATCTCTCTCCCTCTGAGTCTCTCTCTCTCGAAAGCCCCCTCTCTTTCTAATAAGTATTTTACTTAAAAGTGATTCGCAAAAGGACAGACACGTGTGTGTGTGTGTGTGTTGCGATAAAATTTCTCTCTCTCTCTCTCTCTCACACACACACGACGACGACGACGACGACGACGACGACGACGTTGACGTCGAGGGCAGCGCCCTGGTGAACAGGCAAGAGGTCGTCTTGATGGCAGCCCCGGCGTTGAGCTTGATACAAGCGCTGTGGCTTTGAGGAGCGTCTGGTTGCCTTGTCTTGTTTCACCCGTGTCCTTATGGCGCTTGCTTGGTGCTGCAGGAGGTCCCTCGTCATTATTATTGCCGGCACTGCTCGGGCGTCGCCTGCTTCGGGTCGACGCACGGCCACGGCTAGCCTGCGTAGCAGGCACTTTTGTGGGTTGAATACAGTCCGACCCGCTTACCTTTCGCTTTTGCGCATTGCACACGACCGTGGAGGATGCTGGTGCAGCAGCTGCGCGCCCAGGCCGGTGGTGGCAGGATCGCTGGTGTCGTTCACGCAGGCTGGCCCAGCCGCCCCACGTTGGCGGCCCCGATTAACTGGCTGTCACTGCGCACCCTTGCCTCCAGCCAAACGCTCACTTCTGCTTCAGATGCTGCCAGTGCCAAACCAAACGCCAAGCATCCCAAGAATGCCCGGAAAGCCAGCCCGCTCGCCAAACCTTCCTCCTCCCCCACCTTGGGGCCTCAGACTACACTGCCCGTCAACACCAAGCCAGAAACTGCTCTCATGAAAGCGGCTCACGCTGTCATCGCCAAACACCCGCAAGACTACACCTTTGTGCCCCTCGGCGGCTGTGGCCAAGTCGGCATGAATTGCTCCCTCTTTGGCTACCAAAACAAGTGGCTCATGATTGACTACGGCATGATGTTTGATTTTGAAAGCGGTGCCCTGGGCGCCAACGGCTACGTGGCTGACACCACCTTCATTGAAGAGCGCAAAAAGGATCTTGTGGCCCTGGTCGTCACTCATGGCCACGAGGACCACATTGGTGGCATTGTGAGCAAGTGGGCGGATTGGCAAATCCCCATCTACTGCACCGCCCTCACCGGTCACATGCTGCGCCAGCGCTTCGAGATGACCGATGTTGACCCCAACCTCGTCGAGGCCAACCTGCACGTCATCAAACCCAAGGATCAAGTTGATGTGGGTCCCTTCTCTTTCCACTTTCAACCCATCACCCACAGCATTCCCGAAAGCCAAGCCGTGATCCTTGACCACCAACCCACGGGCAAGAAACTCTTCTTCACCGGCGATTGGCGCATCGACCGGAACCCTGTCATCGGCCCTCCCTTTGATGATGACGCCTTCCGCGCTCTTGGCGATCAAGGCGTGCTTGCCATGTTTGGCGATTCAACCAACGCCTCCATCGAAGGCCATTCCAAAGACGAGCTCAGCACCCTCGACGGCCTGCGCGCCACCTTGCGTGACTGCAACCCAAATGGTCTCACTGTAGCCACGTGCTTCTCTTCTTCCATTGCCCGTATTCAGCTCATGATGCAGGCCGCCGTCGAAAGTGGTCGCACTCCCGTTCTCATTGGTGCCTCGCTGATTCGCATGGACGAGGCCGCAAGCTTGGCGGGCAGCTCATTCGACGCACTCCTGCCTCCCTCTTTTGACAAACCCAACCACTACCACATGTCTCTCACGCACCTGCAAGCTTTTCTTGACGCCCATCGTCATCAGTCCACCCCCGCTGCAAACACCGCCAATTCCACTGAGGATGAAGAGCATGACGTTGATCTGGCCGAGCCTGAGCAGGGTGCCCCCGCCCCGAGTGCGTCAAACTCGGGCGCCCAAGCATCACCTGCTGCCGCCACCCCCAAGGCCGATGAGAATCAGGATGCTGCTGATGACGACGACGAGGACGACGATGACGACGATGACGACGATGAGGATGATGAAGACCTTCTGGAGCGCGTGAGGGCCGACGCCAAAGTTCGAGCCGAGGCCGAGGAGGCTGAAGCCCTGGATCATGCCTCGGCTGCCCTTGGGTTTCTACCTGGTCGCGCCGCCCGCCTTGTTCCCCCGGGCAACAAAAGCGGTGAAGAACCCAGTGCCATCGCGGCCCACCTGCGACCCTCGGATCTGTTTATCATCGCCACAGGCTGCCAAGGCGAGCCGACCGCCACCTTGCCTCGCATGGCAGCCGCCAACATCCTCGGGCCTCAGGATAATGTCATTTTTAGTGCCCGCACCATCCCAGGCAACGAGGTCACCTGTCGACGCCTCCTGAACTCTTTGCGTCGCGCTGATGTTCAAGTCTTTCAACCTGGTGCCAAGTATCCCATTCATGTCTCCGGCCATCCCTATCGCGGCGATCTTGAGCATATGCTTGGCTTGGTAAAGCCATTGGCCGTTGTCCCGGTTCACGGCGAGTTTATTCACCAGGATGACCACGCGCAGTTGGCTGCAGTCCGAGGCGTGGCGCACACCATTCTACCTGCCAACGGCGACGTGATTCGAATCTCTAGTTCGGGCGAGCTTCAAAAACTCGCCAATTTTGAATGTGAACCCCGTGTCGTGGTGGGTGGCACCAGTGTCTTTGCGCCCGATGCGCACATGCTTCGCGACCGCGTCCGCATGAATGCCGAAGGCACTTTCGTCCTCTCCGTGGCCCGCGCTTCGGGCTCAGCCCGGGTAGCCGTGACCTCTCACGTCGTGGGCGTGATGGAGAACACCCATCTGCCCAAGCCCGCGCAACGCACTCTAAACCGCAGTGTGCGCACCATCATGCGATCTACTGAGAAGGATGTCGTCACATTGCGCCGTGAGCTCAAACAATGCGTCACTAGCTTCATGTACCGGACATACCGAAAGCGCCCTGTGGTTATGGTTCACATTCTGAACGTTGTTTAAGCTCTTTTGAGCAACGCTGTCGTCACGCACAGCCAAAGGGTGCCGACTATGTCCTTTTATACCCTGCTTCTGTGGCAGCACCACTTCCCTTTGCAAGTTGAATGTCCTCTTGTGTGCGGCCGCCCCCTAGAGCTGCGTTTGAGGCGCGTTGCCTTGTCTCATTGTGCCCGAGGTTGGGCATGAACCAGGCCGTGCGCCCCGATCCATCGACACGCTGACCTTTTTTATGTGCATGACTCTTTGACGTCTTGGTTTTGGTTTTGTTTCCATCTTGTTTCGGCACCCTTGCTTTTGCTTTTTTTGGTTTTGTTTTGTTTGTTTTTACAAAGTCTATCTCCCTGACATCACGCTCGTGATGGTCACGCTGAGCTTCCATGAAGCCTTGGGTTGCTTCAACCCAACCCCCCTGTGTTTTGAATTTTGGCATTTGTTGTGGCCTCGCCGAGCGCCACCATATTGACTACAAATCCGTATTATCCAAAGCTGTCGCTTGTCGTTCAATTCTCGCTCACATGCACACAATGCATCACTCGATGACTTCAAGCAAAAAATGGGGAAGCGATCAGACAAATAGAAACAATGATATCCTAAATAACGGGAATGCGACCGGTAGACCGCGTCGTGGTTACTCGGCGCGCATCAGCCGTCTCCTGCGACAAGATTGTGATATTATCGCTCAATGTGCTAAGTCGTGTGGCAATGTCATCAAAGTCCGGGCGTTCAGTCGGGTTTGGTGCCCAACAATCACGCATGAGTCGCGCGAGGGCAGAAGGGCAGTCGTCCGGGATGCGCGGCCGCTGACCCTCCATCACTGCCTTGAATAGCGCAGATGGATGCGAATCGGGCCCCATCAGATGGGAAAACGGTGTGGTGCGCGTGTAGATCTCGTTGAGGACAATTCCATACGAGTATACCTACAAATGCGTCAGGCAAGAACACAGGCGTCATATCAGGCGTCGATGGACAACTGAGACCAAGTGCAATGTGCAAGAGCCCGTCTGGTCGCAAATGTATTCAACGTACATCGACCTTGATGCCATAGTCTTGCCGTTCGAGGACCTCGGGGGCCTGATACAGCGGTGTTCCGACACCGCGAGTCATGGTATACGAACGAGCCAAGCTCGTTGCATCATCGCTATCCCCATCCCGGGATCGACTGTACCAAAGGATGCACATGATTCAGGCAAAGTGAATGAGCAGGGGTCTTCGCTGTAGCTGTGGCCCGGCATCAGAATCGGTGATCCAACCAAGCTACCTCCACTGGCAGCTATCCCTTGGCCTCTCAAAACTCACCTAAAGGACGACACGCCCGATGTCAGGAGCGGCTCGGCCTCGCCATTAATGCCCACACGAGCAGCCTCATGTGAACGAGGTTTGGCCGAGCGGGATGGCTGTCGCCGCCGCGATCGTGCGTTGGAACCGCGCGAAACTCCACTGCGTCCATCAAGATCAACCATGTCTTCTCGCGCTTGGTCTAGCAACTTGGATGTCCCAAAGTCCGCCACCTGTACAGAATCATCACATGCATGGAAGCTGAGAAGACACTCAACCCAAACACATATCAAGCAAGCCAAGGGCGCACTCCTACCTTGACGACGTAGGTATTGGTGACGAGCAGGTTGCCTTTTGACACACGCGCACAAGCGCTTCGCGTTAGTTCGACCAGATTGAACCACATGCAGGGCATCGTGCTCCCCTGCATCGACGCCACCCAAGCAAAACGCACCTGTTTTAAAGTCACGGTGAATACGAGGCGGGTCACAAAAATGGAGAAAGCGCATGCCTTTGGCTGCATCGAGCGCAAAACGAAGTTTCAGATCCAGGCCAACACTGCGCGATACGTCGTGAATGAGCTCCTGGAGCGAGCCCAATTCACAGAATTCCGTCACCAAAAATGGTGCGCCGTTTCGAAAGTGGCCAGCACCAAAGAAAAAGACTGTGTGTTCCGATAGTCAAACACCAAGCAGGAGGTTAGCTTCAAAGTCCCATTCAGAGAGCGGCACACAACGACACAAAAGACAGGCGACGCGACCACTCTCCTACCCAAGTTGGGGTGACGGACTGATCGCATAAACTGAATCTCGCGCTCAAACTCGGCGGTATAGCTCTCGGCATCGAGCATCATGAGCTGGGAGCTCAGCTTTTTGACAGCCACGTCAAAGTTACCCATCTTGGCGCGGTACACCTCGCCGTACATGCCCCGTGTCCGGCGATCGATGCGCTCACCGAGGACCAGCTCTTCCTCACGGATAAGCCAGCCCTTGGAAGCATCAGTCAGCTGTCGCTGCATCTGTGTCAGCTGGGCCCGGCGCAGCTTTTTGTGGCGCTGCCACTGCACCCAGCGTGAGCGAGCCACGGCTCCGACAACCAAAGTCGCAATCAGGAGCGCACCGCCAATAATCCACCACGGCTGTTTGCAATTGTCCAAGGCCGTGAAGCCAAAGGTGCAAGAACAAACTGGGGCGCCACCAACGAGGGAGCAAGTTCCATGATGATTACAAAAGTCGTGACGACACACGTTGCACATGGCGGGCGAATCTGCGCCGGTGGTGTTGGTGGACAAGAACTCAGTGCACGGCGAACAACAGTGATGACCATCGCCAGTGGCATAGGAGGATTTGGGGCAATGCTCACACGATACCAAAAAGTAGCTGTGCGACTGCGTCCCGTTGATGCACCCAGGGCGTGTTCGCCACAAAAGACTGGACGGCTCGCCACGAGTGCCCTGAAATCCCCCAAACACGTGCAACGCGCCACTAGAGATCACGCCAGCTGCATGTCGTAGCGAAGGGAAGTCGTCGCACTCTGTATCATCCAGCAGACTGCGCCACTGGGCCGCACCCGAATTGTTCAAAAGAGCCTGGCGGGTCATTTTGGACAGATCCAGCTCCCACAGATCGCAGTACGAGCAAGTGAATGACGAAGCAGCGCAGGCTGCCTCGGACATGAGCGTCCCATTGATGAGGCGCTTGCCGCCGTACAAGATCATTTTCGTGCCGTGAGCCACGGCAACAAATCCTTCACGCGGTGCGACGCTACCACGCACGGGGTCAGGGAGCGGACTCACACTGAACCAGGCCTCGGATTTGAGATCGTAGATCCAAACATCATTGAGAAAACGGGTGCCTTGGCGGGACAACGCTTGTTCGCCGCCAAAGAGGACAAGCATGGGAAACGGGACGGAAAACGTCAAAAGGGTGGAGAAGAAGCGAGGAGGGGGCAGAGTGGCTTTAGCATTGTTCGAGAGGGACGACCAGGTCTGGCTATGCACGTTATACTTGAGAAACATGGAAGGCCCCGTGATGGAGACGTGTGTAGCCCAAGCACGCATGTAGTAGCCACCAAAGACATACATATCCGATTGCACGCGCTTTTGGGGATCAAGGTAGTTGTGGACGGCGGCAGCATGCCCAGCACGCGGCAGCTTGGCATTGACCATGGATTCATCCATGTGGTTTTCCAACGCAGACCACTGACCAGTGATGCCCAGCCGTGCAGGGGTGTACATGAACGTGCGGCCCACAATCGTATTTTCATTAATATCGGCTGAATTGCCGCCAAAGATGACGTATGCGTCATGGTTCCCGTAGGCGAGGCCAGGAATTGGTAATGGTTCATTGAGAGTGTACCCGGACAGTCGCACCATGCTATGCCTGTGCTCACCAGCGCAAACCACGCAAATAAGAAAATTGAAGCCAAGTGGACCACACGCACAGCAAAAGAATGAAACACAGCTGAAGTCAAAAGAAAACAGCGGCCCAGGGGCAGGGGGGCACAGTTAACTGAGCAACAGGACGTACTGATAAATGGGGCCAGGACTATTGGTATTGACGTCAACAGTGTGGTCAATTTCGTCCAGCATCCAGCTGCCCTCGTCAATGTTGTACAACCAAGCCACACCTGCAACGTCAGCGATGGCTTGGTGATCAACGTCACCGTCGTAGAGACCACCAAATAGAAGCATTTTGTCGTCGTTGCAAAAATTCCAAAGCGCGTCGCCCCCACCATATTGCGGCCAACAGCTACCCTGGCTGCACGCAGCACCCACGGGGCAGATAAAGTCTTCCATGCCCAAAGGACGCTGGCATCCGCGATAAGTGAGGTTGTTCCAGGTCCAATCGGTATCAAGGCAATCACACAGCACATCCCCTGATGGGTCCTGCATTCGGGGCCGACCGTAGCGCAGCGTTGTGTGCTCCACGCGGTGAAAGGGGCCCTGAAAATCGTCCTGCAAAAACAGGACGAGGTTCATGTTTTGTGGTCGCGGGTAATACTCTGTCATATCCGTCGTCGTGTAACTGTAGTATTCTTCGGCATAAAAGCCGCCGTAGAGGAGAATGGTCTCGGCCATTTGCAGGTCGCTATCAACCATGGTGGCTGTATGGCCCCAGCGATCACGGTCGGCCAAGTAGCGTGGCGTGGCATAGGTCAGGAAGGTAAAGGCTGAATTGCCTGGGTAGTACCATGAGCTGAGGTTAGTCCAAGTGCGCATCACCTCGGCTGTCGGATCCATCAGCCAGGAGTCGCGCAGGTGGTCACCATCACCCGAGGCACCCCCATGCACGAAGATAAAGTTATCTCGTGTGGCGGCGGCCACGTGACTGTGACGGCGCATGGGTTGTTCGCCCTCGAAGGTGGCGGCTCCCACCTTGACCCATTGAAGGTTATCTAGATCAGCCAGATTAAGAGCCCAGATGTCATTGAAGTAGGAGCTGTTCGCCTCGACGGGAATCTCGGTATTGGCAGCGCCGCCAAAGATGATGAGCGTCTCATTGTAAACCCCACCCACATCAGTAGCCACCACCGTGGCGGTGTGCGAGTGGCGGGCCGGAATGTCGGTCCCATTGGGTGCGGTCGCGTTGAGGCGACGCCAGGTGAGATGCGTCTGATTGAAATTGGTGTGATTTGCATCAGGGCAAGACAAGATCCAGAGATCAGCGAGCGGCACCATGGTGGTGGTCCCATTGTCCGTGGTGAGGCCCGCACCACCAAAAAGGATCAGTCCCCGCGAGGTTGAGGTGAGTGTGTGGCCTGCCCGGGCCATTGGCACGGGCTTGTTTGGGGTGGGTGAGATTGAGTACCACTGGCGCGGATGATTGGCCACACTCCCCATAAGCAGCCAGATCTCGTCACTAAACTCGACCGCATCGAGGCCTACGAGAAGCGACGTGATCGTGGCACAAGGTCACAGTCAAAGGCTGTCTCAAACAATACCCGACCAGCGCGCTGCTGATAATTGTAGGTGCCGGTTTTTGCTGAGACGAAAGCTAGTTTTGGTGGGCCGACCGAATTATGGCACACAAACATACCTCCCCGGGGTCGTGGAACGCCATGTTCGCAGGTAGAGCTGATGTCTTTTCGTGGAATCAGACCTGAGTAGACGCGACACAAGTCAGCAGGTACATTGCTTGAAGATGGAACGCATGGTAGGAGGCAACGCACCTCCGAAGCAAATCATGGCGTTTTTGGCACAAGTGGGCGAGCAGGCATGTGCAAATCGGGGGCGCGGTATCAGGAAGGAGTCCTCAAACGTCACGTTGAACCTGAGACCACGGACGCATGCAAATAAAGGGGTNTGTGGGCACCAGGCCACCACGTGAGTTCAACCAGGTCATGGACTGGAAAATGCCATGTATGAGCAAGCACACACCAAGCACGCTTGAGCAAGTCAAAAATCCAAAGATCGTTGAGGGCTCCACCGGAGTTGTGACCGGACGTGTTGGCCGTGAGTGAATCTTGACACCCGCCAAAGATGACCTGCCAGGCGGACAACAGCGAGATGATGGCAGTGTGGGCGCCAAGAGGCCCGTGGCTGGCGCGATGTGGTGATGGAATGTGCAAGAGAGAGTCACGAACCAGAAAGGTAGTATTAGATGTGGGCTCGTGGGCGGAAATGGCCGAGTGGTAGGCGCGGGCATCAGGGATAAGCATCCCCGTCACCAACGGCTCATAGACGTTGATGTTGTCATCTTTGACCACCACCGAATCAGCAGAGCAGATGGCTGACTGACCCGGCACTGAGCAGGAAGGATCAATTTCCTCTACCTCGCTGGTGGCAGACCAAAACGTTTGCGCGCTACCCCAGCCCAGGGCAAGCCCGAACAGGATGGCACCCCGTATCACCACGACCCAGGACATGTCGACGATGGCGCTCACGTCGGGTTTTCCCTCCTCCGCTTGGGCTTGTCACCCCGTCTCGCACACCAGCAGAGCAGCAGCAGCTCGCGGGCCAAAAACAGCCAGTGCGCGTGTCTCTCCCAAGAAGTGCTAGTCCATCAACACGGCCCCCGCCATCTTCACACCGGTTGCCTGGGCCACGAGCAGTTTCAGAACGCTACACGACCCCTCCACGTGAGCCCTTGCGCAGAGCCGCCAGACGGTATCCACCCTTTCCCTCGTTCCCCCCACTCACCCTTGACCCCCCTGCCCCAACCCGCAAATGCAATCCCGATCCTCATCCCCTTCAACACCACCCACACGTACCCAGAGTGCTTGCTCACCCGCCGCCAAATGCACCAACTTGATGGCGAACAGGA